TTAAATTAGTGTGGTATTCACTATCCAATTTGATTAATATCCATTGGATTAATAATCCCACCCCTACCCCATTACTAGTAATCCTACAAATTTGTTGGATTAATTATCTATTGGATTAATAATCCTAAACCAAAATGTTAAAACAAACATAGGATAATTGGGCCCACGGATTAATAATCACAATCCCACACTCTAATCCACCCAATCAAACATGCCATAAAGGTGTTAAGATATGATCCACTGAATTTTCAGGTTGTTAATTACTATTCAATTTGAAATAACAATCAGATTAGAGATGCTTCCTGGCTGCACATGAATTTGGCATTTGCAAAATTTATTTGTGAATCTGTGATTGCACTGCTTCTTCCTCCTAGTTGCTTCTTGCGGATGGTTGTTATTGGCTACAGAGTAATTCGGAAATTAGGGGATTAATAAACATAAATGGTTTTGTATTAAGGAATAAACAATCCTCACCATGAATGAAATAAAAAAGAACGGGCTTAGTCCCTTGTCTTATTTTATTTCCAATAAAAAAAAAAAAAAAAAAAAAAAAAGCAGCTTTGGTACACATCCAATATGAAGAAATTGCACAGCAACGAATTTGACATATTTCTCTTCCATTTTCTTTTTAATATGCAAATTTCTAGTGAAATCCAACATTCAAAGACAAACTTAGTGTAACATACATGGACAGTAATGATTCACACCTACTATTTGTTACATAAAATGGTACCATCTAGCATATTGTTTTCGAGTGCTATTATAATATATGTCAGTATCAATTGCTCGTATAGGACTGGTTTCCACTGTTATTTCCATTAGTAGATGTACTTGTATGATGTCGTGCACGGTTCGGGTCTACTCTGGTTGTTAACATACCGCCATTGGACATTGGAATGAAAAGAAGCCAGGAAGAGATCCACTGAAGTAATGGACGCCTCAAACCAATGCAAAGAAGCCAGGAACCAGCATTGGACATGAAGTAGTTGTTGTAAGGAGGATTGGAATCCACTGCAGAAGTAATGGACATCTCAAACCAATGCAAAGAAGCCAGGAAGAGATCCACTGCAGAAGTAATGGACATCTCAAACCAATGCAAAGAAGCCAGGAAGAGATCCACTGCAGAAGTAATGGACGTCACAAACCGCTTTATCAACATTTCTTTTTGGTTCGGGGATGAGGACCACGATCATCATTTATTAGTGCCCCGTGCTGTGATGCCAATGCAAACTCGAGGCCTGCCACCACTTCAGCCATTGTAGGCCGTTCTTGTGGACGATCATGTAAACATTTGTAGGCAACTTCTACAAAGCACTTGAGAGCATTTGGCAATGTTTGCCCTCTCAGAGAGGTATCAATGATTTGAGGAAGCCTACCTGTTTCAATGCAATGCTGAGCCCAAAAAATCATACTGATTTGATCCACCTCGAGTCTTGTATCCATGGAAGGCCTCCCACACAATACTTCTAACAACACTACCACAAACGCATACACATCAGATTTCTTGGTTAGCCTCTGAGTCCTGAAATTATCCGGATCTAAATACCCAAACGTGCCTTTTACAGCTGTAGTAATGTGGGTTGAAAGATTAGTTTGAGAGAGAAGCTAGAGAGCAAAGAATGAGAGCAAAATGTGTTCTGTATTATATGTGTTATCTTTACAAGAGAAGTGAACTCTCTTTATAGAGAGAAGAAATAACATTGGATCCCAAGTGATGAGTGAAACCACCGAAAGAATAAAGTGAAAAGAGAAAGTTTATACAAACAAGCAATATTATATTAACATGGGTTTTTGAAAAGCTTGTTGTGCCTTTGGACAACCCAAAATCCAAAATCTTTGATACCCATTTCTCGTCAAGCAGAATGTTAGTGGTCTTCACATCTCGGAGTATGAAACTTTGTTGACTACCCGTATGAAGGGTACTCTAATCTGCGTGCATTACCAATGCAAATATTGAGCCTTCGATCCCAAATGACACCACTTCCATCTCCTCTTGTATTTATTTTGTAGAGATGATCAACAAGGGTTCCATGGGCTATATATTCGTAAACAAGGATCATCTCATCGCAGTCACTGCAGTACCCAATAAGAGCGACAAGATGAGTGTACCGGAGCTGGGAAAGCATCTCGACCTCAGTCCAAAACTCACTGCACCTTGGTTGGACTCTGGATTTAATCGCTTTATAGCGACCGTTGTAGAACCATTGTCGATGAACCCTTTATAAACTTTTCCAAATCCGCCAATCCCTATAACCATTTGATCATCAAAGTTGTTTGTGGCGGATTGTATATCAGCAAGTGAAAAGAACCGAGACAGTGATTCGTATTGGATCTCACCTTTTCCCATTGCATTCCGACCCAACATGTTTTTGCTCTTTTCAAAATATCAGTTTGATTAGAGCATCTCCAACGGTAGTAGGCATTTTACCTATCTAAATATTACTATAAAGTATATATTTTATTTTGCCTATCAACTGTTTTATGTTTTTACTCCAACCATGCTCTTTATTTTAGCTATTAATCCAAATACTATTAATTTTATAGAATGTCACGTCAACAACAAAGATGGAGGGAAATGATCCTAATGATTGAATACATTTTGCCTAGTGTTGAAGGCTAGCTACATGTAGCTAGTGAATATGAGTTGAGCCAAAATGCCTAATCATATGCCTAGTGCGTTGGAATTGAAAAAAGTGAATCACACTAGGCATTTTAACTAACAAGTATGATATGCCTAATGCATTGGAGATGCTCTTATGTCTGTCCACAGATTATGCTAAAAACAGGGGATTCCGATCACCAAATGTAAGGGGGGGAAAAAAAAAAGGAGAAGCTGAATTTAACAGGAAGATGGAAGAAGATGGAGTAAGAGAGGGATTATAGTTTGAGAGAATGAGAAATGGATTTGGAAGAAATTAGAATGAATGGGCGTGCTTCAACGCAGTAAGGCTGAAAGTGTCTCTATCCGAAAAAGTATTTCGTGGTCTAGGGACATCACATAACCATACCCTGACCAATCACAAACTACCATGTTCCCTGTTATTTTCCAATCACGTTACACAAAATCATAGATCTAACCTGCTTGCCGTGCCCCACGACCACCATCTTACTTCTCCTTTGTCTTTATCAATGGGTCAGCAGTGGCACACTGATGACTTTTAAAGACAGCAAAAAAAAGCCAAAAAAACAAAAAATTCATACAAATTATCATATTATTCTTAATTTTTTTTTTCCAAATCTTGCCGTAAAAACTAAAAAAAGGAGCTTGCAGGGAGATGGATGCCCCCAAAAACTTATTCGTAATGTTGTGATAAATATATTTTATTTATCTCACAAGTCATATATAGTGAGAAAATTAGTTGTCCATTATTAAAGACTTATAAGGCTAATCCCATTTTTTAATTCCCAAAACAATTTGTTACTTTATGCTATATTTGGTTGAGGAATTTGAAAAGAGAAATGAAAAAAATAGGTAAAATGTGAAAAAAAATATATTTATATTTCACATAATTTCATACATCTTTCTCTTTCTTTTTTCTAAATTCCTTCTTAATTCCCTCAACAAAACACAGTGTTAAGAAATTTGGAATCCAATGATTGGTGGAGACCTGTAATCTATCAGCACATGTGAATAAAAACAGTAACAAACATTCCGTGCCAGGAGTGACATCAATTTTCCATGCCACTCGGTTCAACTCAAAGCATATGTAACTACTAGTGAGCTAACTTTTATACTATAAAAAATGCTATATAAATTAATAAATTTAACAAATATTTTTCACCAACAAATGTGTCAAGCAATAAAGAAAGTAAGATAAATTATAAATATATCCTTTAAAAATTTACTTAAAATATGAATTATCCTTTATGATTTTAAAAATTATATGGGAGTGTTTTGGAAAGATAGTTATAAGCTAACTTTTTAACTTTTTTAGCTTTTTTCACTGTTTATGTAAGAGGTGATGTGACCTAAAATGGGTTTAAAGCTGACTTTTGCCTTTTAACTATTGTTCCTAAAATGGAAGTTTTTAATTTCTATAACAAGTAGTCCCTTTTATCAATAAATTGTCCAGCCAATTAACAATTTTTAATTATTTCAAAAATATATTTCAATTAATAATTCAAGTAATTTTATTATTGTATAAAAAAGTAGTTAGAAATTTCTTTTTAATTAATTCTGTTAAACAAAAAAATAGTTACAAAGGAGTATTTGTAATTTTTCAAACTACACAAGACAATCCATATTTTAAGTAAACCACATAGGATGTATTTATAATTTACCCAAGATAGTATTGAAATCTGAAATTCGACCCACTTCAATAATGTGACAAGTCACACCAATAAATAAGAAAATTGTGTAAAATTTATTATTTTAAAAGTGGGCATTAACGTCGGTTTTTTTAACGGCAGTAACAAAACCGCCGTTAATGATACCTTTAACGGCGGTTTTCGTTACCGCCGTTAAAAAAACCGTCGTTAATGCCCTGTTTTGGCGTAGTGTCATGATAAGGATTTCTCCCATTCTTACCAAAATCTTGACTTAAAACTTAAATTTGAATAAAAAGTCACTAAAATCCGTCTCTCATTTACTCAAACCAATACCAAATTTAATTTTACTCAAAAAAATTGATTTTAATCAAGGGAAAGGCATTTCATTTACGCAAATTTCTATCCAATCAAAACTTGATACATAGGTGCTTTTGCCCAAAATTTTTAGACTCTAAGGCCCCGTTTGTTTTGGGAGATAGAATGGAGGGGATTGTTAGTGAGGGGATTGATAGTGAGGGGATTACTAGTGAGGGGATTAATATTGAGGAATTGTTAAATTATTTTTATATAAAATAATAAAACAAATAAAAAAATATAAAAAAAATAAACATTATATTTAAAAAAAATTCCCAATATATAAAATATAAAAAAAATAAAAAAATTTCTAATCCCCTCACTATTTTTTTAATACCATCTCTACCTCCTCCTTACCAATCCCCCTTCTTCCTCCTTACTAATACCAAGGGATTACTAATCCCCTCCCTATCTCTCAAAACAAACACCACATTCTCAGTCCCTTCCTCGTTATCAAACCTAATCCCCCTCCCTATAACCCAAACAAACGGGGAGTGGGCTCACCTTCTACAAGTTGCTCAACTGCACCAAGATATTCCAGAAGTTCCATGTGCCCACAGGTGAGAAAGATAAGAGAAACAGAAAGTAATAAAGAAGCAGCAAATCATTGTCCCTCGTGAATCATGATAAACAATCAATCACATACAATTATTAAAGCTACTCAAGAGAAAGTTGAGTGAAAAATGGAGACCAAGTGGAAGAAAAGTTGCTCTTCATGTCTCCACCTGACAACACTACTAGCAGTACTACTACTTCAAAGTGTTTTTGCTGCTGAAGAAAATGGTATTGATCAACATTGGCATTGCAATGGTTCAATGGGATTCTGTGATGAAATTGGTGACAAAAAGGTGCCGATGAAGTTGGAGATGAGTCGGAGGTTTCTTGAAGCAACTAAATACATCACTCTAGGGGCTCTGAAGCCCAATCTACCTGTCTGTGGTGGTGATGGTGAAAGAGGAGCTCCTTACAGTAGGAGCTGCCTTCCTCCACCATCAAACCCTGAGAGCAGAGGCTGTTCCCAGTACTACAGGTGTAGGAAATAACCACTTGGTTTCTCTCATGTGGTTTGCTGATGGATGGGAAATAGACAATCAACACGGGTTGTTCAGTCTCTAAATCTTTGTTTGTGTCCTAATGCACTTCTAACTATCATATCATATCTCTAGACTTGTGTGTTGCGAGGCATTGAGATAAGAAGATAGAGAAATTTGGAGACAGAAGATCATTATCCATTAATTATATGCATGCATGAAGTCTAAATGTTGAGTTTGTGACATTGTCCATGTTTGGTAGTATTTTTTTGTTTTCTGTGTTTGTTTTCTCTTTTGCTGCTCTCTCATTGTACAATACAAGGCATGTATGGCCTTAAGTAATTGTTTAGAATTAGTATATGAATGCAAATAGGCTATTACTCTGAGTGTGTTTTTAAAGTGTTTGAGCACTATGAAACAGAGCATTTAATTGAGCAAAAAATGGTTCAATCTTAATGAATAACGATGCTTTCAATATATTGAATTGGAGACGCCTCGATGCTCTAAATTTCCAGGCAGTGGCTTGTAAGATTAATCACAAATAACCTCTACATATCCATTTTGGGGGTCATTTTATCCTTTTACATCCATTTTTTATGGTAATTCTTGTCCTCTATTTCAGCACATCAAAAACTCTAATTTTTGTACAAATCAGCACAAATGACTGCAAATCAAAATCTCTAACTTTAGCAAATCAAAACACATCATTTATAAATCAAAATAGATGAGGGAGCACCTGGACTGTTGGGCACATCTTCTTGTATAATTAAACCCCCCAAAAAAAAAATAATAATAATTCAAAAACCTCAAAAAAAAGAAAAAAGAAAACAAAACAAAATTCGAAAAGTGAGAGGGACACATGTCCCCTAACCCTTCAGCTCTGGTTACATTGAAAAATTCTACTATACACACACTATGAATAGTTACATATTATATGTACCTCTACTTTCAAACATTAGATATATAAAGCAAATTTAATGTTGGTCACATTAAGTTGTAACCAACACATTTTAGAGCATGAGAGGGGATCACTTCGATCATAAACAAACTACTATAATAGTGTTGTAACTAACAATACTTTGAAACATTACCAAATACCACAATGCATCGGCACTAAATTTGATTTGACACTTTGCTAATTCCGCCACTGCAATGGCCTATAACCAAATGCTAAAATAGTTCATAACCAACACCAATGTCTCCTATAACTTGCATATGATACACATGGTCCGCTTTGTAGTAAGACCTAGTCACATTTATGAATGGATCATTCGTATAAAACTTAATACTTGGTGTAAGCAACAGATCTAGAAATCTTACTTTGGGGTTTTTGGTGGCAAGTCTTATGAATGAGGTTAACACAAGTGATCCTATTGACTTCGTTTTTTAATAGATTAAGTTTCAATTTTAAAATTTTAGTGGCCATTCATTCCATTTTGAACTTTAGAGATGCATGTGTCAAACAACTCACATTAATGGAGTTGCTAAGTTGTCGAGTAAGGCTTCTTTTTTCTTTTCTTTTTTTTTTTTTTTGAGAAAACAGTGAAATTTCTCAATTAACAACTCTAAAATTTCTCATTTTCCATCTTCAAAATGTTGTATGGAATAAAGATCTTGTTTGATAGGTCTACTCAAATAAATTCTAAAAATATAAATTTTATGAAGAGTGGATCTATAGGATGGAAGTAAAGATATTTTAAAATTTTGAATCAAAAACTTCAATTGCCTCCAGGTGGTTTATGCAAATTTTAATAAAATAAGGATATTTTGGCTAAGCACTGATGTGTGAGACTTAGAAGAGTTAACAAAAAAATAAATAAATAAATAAATTTGTGAAACTTAACTCAACTAACTTTAGGATGGAACATAGAACTCCTAATCGATAAATTTTATTTATAATTAAAATAAATATTAATTTCTACCAAAAGCTAATCTCCTTTTGGAAGAGACCATTTTTTATTTTTTATTTTTATTTATTTATTTATTTATTTATTTTTTTACATAATTTATTTTTTAAATACAGTGAAGATTGTCCAACAACCAAGTCTCATAATCCATAATTCTTTCATATCAACCACTTACCTTGTAAATTAACTTAAAAAAAAAAAAACCAACCTCTTCACAATGAGAGTGAGGAGTATTAAAGCCTAAGACTTGACTTTGGCAATGGAGAATCATTTCAAGAGAAATGCGTAATAATTAAATCCACACAAGTCCACTGGATTTTCAACGATTCTAAAGGTCAGTAGTCACCATAGCGCTCGAGTACAGATCAAACTAAACCAACAACAGTTCAGTTGGTTAGCTTTGTGCACTCTATTGGGAGATAAGGAATCTATTCAAAGGCAAAAATTGATAATTTCTCCTTATTATGACGTTTTTTATTAAGCTAGTTGTTGAGCTTTGTTGTGTAGTTTATTTACTTCTATTATGAGGTTTATTATTTATTAAGTTGGTTGTTAGGCTTCTTGGACTATTATTGTCTAGATGTAATTTTCTTTATTTTATAAATACTAACCATCAACTAGGAAAACTTGTACAAATATCCTCCTAGAGGTTGAATGTGAATTGAAGGGTCCAAATGTACGATTTTAAAATTAATAGATGCAAAATAATTAGTAGTTGAGGAATAAAACATATATAACCCTCAAATTTTATTTTTTTTTTTTTTAATTTTGGAAAAGGACTATTTACTAAAATGTAACATCATCCATTTCAAGTTTGGTGAAGTGGGTCCCGCCACCCCCCACCCCACTCCTCTACTGCTAGTGTGGCTTCCACTAGCCACCACCTTAGATAAAGTTGGGCTGTTTCTGCATTATGAAGTGATGACTTCATAGTGAGAAGAAAGAAAGCCACAGAAGCAGTTGGAAACAAGCTCCCCCACCATGAGATTGACACCCCTCCTCCAGAGTATGAATATGCCTTTGACATGATAGCAGTTTGGTTTATTTTTAAGCAACACTATGGCAGTTTTAGTAGGGGTGCATCTCTGATCTTTTAAATACAGTCTATTGATTCTTCATGCCATTATTATGTGTCAAGGTTGGCTTCGTGAGGCTCAAATTTTTTCTTTTGTATGGCTTAAATGCTGATGCTTCATGGCTGCCAACATGCTTAGACTTGAGATTCAGGTTTAACATTATTTAATTTTAATTCTTCTTCATAGTAGTTTTGTAAAAATCAATGTATAAAGAGAATTGTATAGAGAATGAATGATGTATTATTGATTGATGTATTACAAGATTGATCTATTCTGTATATTACAACTCCTATATATAGAGGAGAAGATGGTAGTGGAGTGTGTGATAGTGGAGGTGGTAGGTGTGGAGAAAAATAGTGGAGGTAGTAGGTGAGTGGTATAGTGGAGGTGGTAGGTGTGGAGAAAGATAGTGGAGGTAGTAGGTGAGTGGTAAATTCTAACATAAATCCACACAAGTCCACTGGATTTTCAACGATTCTAAAGGTCAGTAGTCACCATAGCGCTCGAGTACAGATCAAACTAAACCAACAACAACAGTTCAGTTGGGTAGCTATGTGCACTCCATTGGGAGATAAGGAATCTATTCAAAGGCAAAAATTGATAATTTCTCCTTATTATGAAGTTTTTTATTAAGCTAGTTTGTTGAGCTTTGTTGTGTAGTTTATTTATTTCTATTATGAGTTTTATTATTTATTAAGTTGGTTGTTAGGCTTCTTGGACTATTATTGTCTAGATGTAATTTTCTTTATTTTATAAATACTATCCATCAACTAGGAAAACTTGTACAAATATCCTCCTAGAGGTTGAATGTGAATTGAAGGGTCCAAATGTACGATTTTAAAATTAATAGAGGCAAAATAATTAGTAGTTGAAAAATAAAACATATATAACCCTCAATTTTTTTATTATTTTTTTAATTTTAGAAAAGGACTATTTGCTAAAATGTAACATCATCCATTTCAAGTTTGGTGAAGTGGGTCCCGCCACCCCCCACCCCACTCTACTGCTAGTGTGGCTTCCACTAGCCACCACCTTAGAAAAAGTTGAGCTGTTTCTGCATTATGAAGTGATGACTTCATAGTGAGAAGAAAGGAAGCCACAGAAGCAGTTGGAAACAAGCTCCCCCACCATGGCATTGACACCCCTCCTCCTCCATCTCCGGATCTAGTCTTGCTTTCCTTACTTTGTCTTGGTGGTTGTGTTGGTGTAACTACGAGTGATGCACATGTACAATGCAATGGCTCGATAGCAGAATGTCATGCAGACATGGAGATGCTGATGGAGTCAGAGGTAAGTCGAAGGTTTTTGGAGACAACGAATCACATAACATACGGGGCTTTAAAGCAAGATCAACCAGCATGCAATAGTGGGAAAAGTGGTGAAGCTTACAGCAAGTCGTGTCTCCCTAAAGAGTCTAACCCTGAGAGTAGAGGGTGCTCCGAGTACTACAGGTGCAGGCAAGGAAGTAGATCTCCACCCACTTAGTTTACATGATGTGTTATACAGTAGATCTCCGGCCACTTTGTTTACATGATGTGTTATACCATATAACAAACGGGAGGGAAATAGAAAGCTTATGCATCAAATCAAGTTAATGTGTTTTAATTTGTAGCTATGTTCCGTGTTTGGTACTTATTTGCATATGACAAATGCTTAAGAATCCTCAAATATCATTCGTAAAATTATTCCCAATGACCTGTACTGTGTTGCATATCAGTTGTGGACTTGTAATACACAAAACGAGTCTCACTACAAGAAGTGCTTTCCAGTTCGCAAGAAGGATGACGAAAAGGGGGGCATTTATTGAAAATTTTGGATTAAAATTAACAATAATTGGGAGATTAAAAAAAATCTTGTTTTTTTGTTTTCGGGTGGGTAAGTCAATCTTGTTTTTATTCACTTCTCTCTCTTTATATTTTATGCATCTTCATAACACATGCTAGCATAATACCCCTATTATGCAAGGTCTTAAATAAATAATTAAAAATTAATTTTAAAATTAAACAATAACAAAAAAAAAAAATTGAATGTACAGGAAAACAATTGAGAATCCAGTAAAATTAAGAATTTTTTTGTTTTTTGAACAGACAAGTAAAATTAAGATGTTTTTAATTATTAAATAACAAAAAAATGTGTTGCAAATGGCAAAACTTCAAGGCAAAAAAAATAAAATTGCAACCCCTGCATTTATGATAAAACATAAATACATTCCGCTCTTGGAGTTTTGTAATTATAGTTTGCTTTATGTTAGAGTATACCTGACAACATTGCAAATTATGTGTCAATTGCCAGTTACCATTCATAATTGTAGTCTAACAGACTATTGTTATGAAAAATGTGAATCAGGTATAAGTGTAATGGAAGAATCGAAGTAAACCAGAATACTTTCTCCTGATCAGGAACCGTACATCAATTTTGTGCACAACGTAACATTGGTTAACAGGACCCTCTTATGGACCTAGGTGACAATTTGAGTAGACAATCCCTTCATCTGGAAAATCAAAATCTACTTAAAATGAAGTTTCCATACCTCTCGAACATTGGAGGAACCATCTGCAACTTCAGAAACCAGGCTAGCTTCCATCACACCTGAGAAAGAGAACCGTCTTATCAACACCCTATGCCATACAAATAGGCTGCACGTATCCTTGAGGCTGTGCTTGAATCATAAATTTGTATAGATTTTTGGAAAATGAAAGGGAAAAGGTAAGAAAAATGTGAATTTAATCTTTGAAATATATTATGCATGCAAATGGAATTCATGGATGAGCATATAAAAAACATATGTATCGACACATTTAAAACATATTGATGTGCCTTCATGTAAAACAAAATCTATATTCTTGAAATAAATTGCAGCATGTAGAATGGAAACACAAAATTAAACACCAATCTGAAGTCTGTTTTTGTGCATAGATGTGTTAAAAATACGATCTTTTATTGATACAAAGAAACATATCCTAGTGAAATATACATATATATCTAATAAGGCTTACCATCCTTATCCACCACAGAGAGAAATCGCCTTGATCCACCTCCTACTCCAAAGTAATGCTTCTTCGCTGCCATGTAGACAACTCCATTCAGACGATTCAAGCACTGTAAATATAAAATTTTAGAGCCACGTAACAAGAACTTAAGGATGTGGAAAGAATCAGAAACTAAAGAACAAGTTACCTTCTTTATAAGTTCATACAGATGAGGCAAAGCAGATATTGAGTAAACTGTCTCTGCCATAAGGATAACATCATAACCAACAGACTGACCTAGCCCTGGGCTACAATTGTGGTCCTTTTTGTTGGTATGTACATAAGGAAGAATTTGATAGACTTCACTCCAGTCACCAGCAAAGAAACGGAATTCTGCATCTGTATTCCACCCACTCACATCTGTAGCCAAGGGTTGAGATTTCTTTAGAAGATTAGCATTTACATTAGGAATGGTCAGACATCGCAAGACCTCAGCATTAAAATCCTGGAAATGAATGACAGCAGCACCCTGATGCAACAAAACACAATGCTAAACCCACCAGATATTTTCAGGTATCTAATTCCAAGAACTAAATGCCTAGAAAATGCAATAATTACCTCAAGGCCAGTGAAGATCCCAGGAAGTCCATGACCACATCCAAGCTAAAAACATCAAAATAAACTCAATCATAATAGCAATAGAGATGACTAAATAATCAAAGACATCTATATCACTTCAAACTATTGATATCTTTCCCAGTTTATTATCTCCAGTGTTCTAGAATCACACCTGAGTACTAGTGATACATGGGCACTTCATAAAGGTGGACAAAGAATTACTTGCTGCTTTTACACTTTTCCCAACTTGGCAAATAAATTTCCCCATTAAATGTCCAAAATTTTAACCTAATCCCAATTTTGAAACCTCATACATGATATCTCCATTTTATGGTATATTAAAACTTAAAAGAGACTAATGTAAGTGACTATAATTGGTCGGTGAAGTCAAAGTTTGGACCTATTGTGTCATGACACATGAGAAAGGGGATGCTTAGGTTGGACTGTAAATTGCAGCCCCAATATATATACATATACACAAAACTCCCAAAGCACCCCAAAAGTTGAAGCAAACATGAGCAGGTGCGATAATCCGTCAAAATTTTTAACCCAAAAAAAATATATATATATATATATTCAAAACTCCCAAAGCACCCCCAAAGTTGAAGCAAACACGAACAGGTGTGATATTCCGTCAAAATTTTTAACCTCGTTAACAGTTTGGGGTAAAGTGAACTAATGTTAATAGTTTAAGGGATTACTTGTTCAAATTGATAGTTTAGGAGGTGAATGACACTAGTGTGATAGTTTGGAGGAGGGGGGGAATAAATTTTTCCTAAAAATTATGTTTTACGTAAAACATGGGAGCTTTGCATTTTTATAACTTCTATTTTATTTTGATCATTCTATAGAATTTTAATATTCGAAATGAGCCAGCAACCCTATAATCCAAATAACCAATTATATGACACTAGAATAGAACTATACCCCCATAGTAACAAACACAGTATTTTATGCATGTCGTACCCATTCTTCAGTCCAGATATCACACTCACATTATTACGACCCTGAACCATTGACATCAACATCCCAATACCAACAAATTTGCTCTCATAATCAATTCAAAACACAAGATTGCTTACATCAATGACATTATATTCAAGAAAATAGGACTAATATAACAAACAGCCACATTGCCATGTGGTAGACATCCAAAAAGACATGCAATGACAAAACATATGTAATGCATATGTATGACATTCAATGCAGAAAAGTTTCATTGTAGCCATATTCATCTAAAACATGTTTATGCATCGTAGCATTAGAGAATAGAGGCCACTTTTGTAATAGGAGCTCACCTCTAGAACCCGCTTTCCAGTGAGTAATAATTGACCATCTTGGATCTCTGATTGCAGAGTTTTAACTAAATCGAGTGAACCTTCCCATAGTTTTAGTCCCCCTACACCATAATTAAGCACATTATGCAAATCCTCAATACAAATCCTGCATATGTACATATGTATAATAAAGTAAATCAAATAGGATAATGTGAGGTAAAAATCTAGAGAATAAATTTCTTACATACCTTCATATTTACCCGGGACCAAGTCAGAATTGGATAAATGGAAAACCTCCTGAGTACTCACCCTTCCCTACCAAAGATGAAACATTTGCTTTTCTTAGTCACTTCCTGTAATATACAGTTGACACCCACTATTCCAGTATTTGCTCTGTTTGGACACTCAGAAAATACACTAGGAATCAAAACAATTTTAAAACTTTGAACTTCAGGATTTTTTGTTTTTGAATTTAGATGTCAGATTAGTACTCATTTCCTTGGAAACCCAAAACTAGAAAACTCAAGACTTCGGAATGCTATTTTCCTTGCGTTCATTTTCCCATAATTTCTCGGTAAACAAACAATGGGTTGAAAGGAATTACCTTCAGCAAAGTGCGTCCGCTCAAATTCACGGGGTCCACTTTATATGTGACAGATGATGAAACCTGTTCCAAATAAAAGATTAGATACATGCATATTATAAAGATGTATATATATATATAAAGAGGATTATGCAATGGAAATACCTCTGAGGGAAGAACTTCAATGGAAGGAGGTGGGGGAGGGAGGGACTTTTTAGAAGAATCAAGAAACCCTAACCCTAATTGGGTTTTATCATCCGATGAAGAAGAAGAAGAAGAAGAAGAAGAAGAAGAAGAGAACAAAAAAAAGGAGTCGAGTCCTGATTGCTTTGCCGCCATGAAAGCCTTTTCTCCTCTTCAGCTGTGGGGTTTTGGTTGCACAGCTCCTCTTTACTAATAGTCCTATTCGTATCTGTCAAAATAAACACTTCATTTTCAATTCCCTCCTCGCTGCTCACCGTCAAACCCAACCTCCTTCCTGTAATCCCAAACAAACGGGCCTAAGGGTCTATGGCTTTTGGAGCGGTTTTGTTTGTTCTTTGAGCCTGTTGTTGGGCCCATCGTGTTTTTGGTGAGGAACAATGCTAGGATGCCACATGAATCCGGATTTTTGAAAAATGTTATTTATACATTAAATTAATATAATTTTTTTTAAAATTTATTTTAAAGTAAAGATTTATATTAAATTATATTATTATGTATGAAAATTATATAAATTTTTTTTTCTCATATTATTACTCAAAAATTTTGTTAATCATATTAATAAATTTTATAAAATCTTATTGACTCATGTATATTTATTTTTGAAATCTTAAACAAAAGATGCTTGGAAACATTACAAGAGTTGAGCATTACCTTACATAATTTTATAAACTTTTATTGATTCATATATATGTATTTTTATTTTTTGGGGAACACAGTACCATATGCATTTTATAATTAAAAAAGAAAATGATATAATTTTAGGAGACTTTTTTTAAGGTTTCTAATATTATAATTTTAAGAGATAAAGGACACTCCAAACTTTCATACTATCTCAAGTCCCTAAAAAACATGCGCTTCTTCCTTACAAAATTATTGGATCAAAATATTTTTGTATTTTAGTCTAACGTCTTTCACTATTTGAAATTTTTCAAAAACTTAAAAATTCAATAACTTTTGATTTAGATGTCTATTTTCAACAAAAAAATTATATTTTTGAAATGCTCTCATTGAGATCTATCAAACAAGATCAATGATGAACAAGATCAATGATGAATATGAAATTCATAAGGAAAAAAAAATGACAAAATTTCACTGAGTTAGAAATCAACATAAAAGTAAATTTCTCTAACTACATTTGCAAAGAAATTTCAGAGAAAGTCAAATGTGTTAGAGAAAATCAACATACAAGCAAATTTCTCTAATTACATTTGTAGAGAAATTTTAGAGAAAATCAAACGTGTTAGAGAAAATTAATATGCAAGTCAATTTTTTTAACTACATTGGCAGAGAAATTTCAGAGAAAATCAAATATGTTAGAGAAAACCAATATGTAAGTAAATTTCTCTGAATACATTTGCAGAGAAATTTTAAAGAAAATCAACATGATAGAGAAATTTTCAGATTGCAAGTGTGTGATAACCAAAGAAGGTCAACATGACAGAGAAATTTCAGATATAGGTGTAGTGAAATTTAGGCTAATTTTAGACAAATTTCCATATGAAGAAAAATTCAAATTAATTTTACTTCATATAAATTCAGAGAAATTTCAAGAGGCCTTTCAAACTCTCTAGTATAGATCCAAAGAAATTTTGGATATAGGTCTAGAGAATTACCTAGTATAAGTCTAGTGAAATTTCTTTGGTATAAGTCTAGAGAAATTTCAACAAGTCCTCCAAATTCGTCCAGATCCATGAGTTTATTGTTGTCCATGATCATCCACTTCTTATTCTTTAGCAAATAGATAAATGGCCTATCCTTATGATAGTAGATAAGGTAAACGGGGTGGACGTGGCTAGGAAGGTTGTGGAGGGAGGTTTTGAACTTAGCGTCGAAGACATGGACAAGGTCGGTGGTAATAAACTGGTTGCCAGAACAGAAGAATGCGGAGGTGGTGGTGTCAAAGAATAAGGAGATGGTGGATTTAGGTTTTAGGGTTTTGACAGAGAAAACTGTGAGTTGGTGGAGAGTTCCAAATCTGTAGAGAAAGAGATAAGAGAAGATAAATGGAAGGACGATGCCGGAGTGGGAGCTGGCAGCGAAGATAAAGGGACTGTCGAAGCAGAAGGAGACGGAGGTGGTGGTGTCGGAGAGTAAGGAAGTAGTGGATTTGGGTTTTAGGGTTTGGGAAGAGAAAGATCAAAAAGATGGATGAGAGAGCAAGAACATAGACCCAACTATGTAGAGAGAGAAGAAAGAGGAGTAAGGGTAAAGTTCGTATTTTTTTTTGAATAAAATAGAAATAAAGAATGTAAGAGACCTTATCTAACAGAAAATTTTTTTGTGGATCTCTCTTACTACTCAAAGTTAGAGAAGAATGTTAGTCTAATTTTCTTTAATTTTACTTTTTGAGTTATAATTAAAAATAAAAATAAAAGTGTCATAACTAAACACAACATGTAGTATAACTAAAAAATTCATGAGTCATAATTAAAATAATGTCATAATTAAAGAAAAAAATTATGACATAACTAAAAAGAATTAACATAATTAGGTATGCATATGATACATCCCTTTCAATTGTGGCTATATTAAAATTTCCTTTTTTGATTACTATTATTATTATTATTGTTTTATTTTTAATTACTCGTTTGTTGTTGTTGATGTAATATGCTTGTTTAACTTTGTATCCAAACAATCAATTATGCTTAGTTAATTCTAGTTATGTTTTGCGTTGGGTTTTGTTAATTAGAGTCGATTTAGGGAAAGTTAACCTATAAATCCTAAATGTTGATCTTTTGTTCCATTTGGTCCCAGTTTTTTGTGTGTAGTCCATTTGGTTCTCTCTATTGTGGAAAAGACACAAGTGCCATTGGGTGAATCACAGGCTATTTTATGTAAGGTTTTTATTCGTGTATGCTTAAAACTTGCCACGTTATGCGCGTGGTTGGGTGACATACAACACAAAAGTACACTAAAGGCTTTTTATACTTTTTGCTTTGTGGGTTGATGCATTGCACGTGGCACACAGACCACTCTCTCCCCTCATTACCCGACCTGTCACATTAGAGTGTCACATTTGGGAAAAATACATTAAAGAATTTTTACTTTTTTTTAAGTGTCATATCATACCCGCCACGTTTGAGTGTCATATGTCACGTTTGAGAAAAGTATACTAATGAGTTTTTTAATTTTTTTTAGAGTGTCATATCATACTCGCCACGTTGTCACATTTGAGAAAAGTATGCTAAGAAGTTTTTATTTTTTTGAAGTGTCACATCATACCCGCCACATTGTCACATTAGGGGAAAGTACATTAAAAAGTTTTTTTTTTGAAGTATCACATCATACCGGCCACATTGTCACATTAGGAAAAAGTACACTAAAGAGTTTTATTTTTTTTGGAGTAAAAGTTTTAGAGTTTCACATCATACCGGCCATGTTGCCACATTTACGAAAAGTACACTAAGGAATTTTTAATTTTTTTGGAGTGTCACATCGTTAGAGTGTCACATTAATACCTGCCACATTGGAATATCACATCATACATGTCACATTAATAAAAGGGTACCGTTGTCCACTAAAACACTACCAAAATAAAAAATAAGACCACAGAAAGAAACTCTCCACTAATAGGACTTAATAGATCAATATAAGAAACTTAGAACTAATTGGAGTACTTGTTTGTGAGATGGGATTTATTGGTAAATATCCCTTTGATTTATGTGGTGGAAATTTGACCAAATGTTTTATTGGTAATAGGATTGATATAATTTCATATACAAAAGCTTGTGAGGGAAGCTAGAAAGGCAATAGAAAAATCTACTTAAGGGGCTATTCAATTGTGACCTTTTTTCTCTCATGTTTTGCTCATCATCTTCTTCTCTATTTTCTGCAAAGAAAATCAGATATGATTTTGTGTGTTTTAGATTGATTTCTTTGTAGTTTAAACACACACTTGCTTCTAAAACACCCAACATAAAAGTGGTATCAGAGTCTAGTTCGAAGTGGAAGCTTGGATTTGAAAAGGAATGCTGAAAATAGAAAGTGTGTGAAGAAGAAAAGTGGGTTTTGGAGAAAATCTCCATGGCTAACTCAAGCAACCAAAGTATAGGTATCCAGCAACCATCTATGCCCATTTTTGCTAGAGAAAATTATGATTATTGGCATGTGAGGATGAAGACCTTATTTCAGTCCCAAGGTTTATGGAACTTGGTACAAAATGGGTATGATGAACCTGATTTAACAACTACATTAACTTCAGCACAATAACAGTAGCTAGAGGAAACTAGAAAAAAATGATGCTAAAGAACTCTTTTTCATCCAACAAGCACTCTTTGATGAGTTGTTTCCAAGAATCATTGAAGCCAAGAAATCAAAGGAAGCATAGGATATTTTACAACAAGAATTTCAAGGAGATAAAAAGGTAAGAATAATCAAACTCCAAACTCTTAGAAGGGAGTTAGAATATTTGAAGATAAAAGAATCTGAAACTTTAACTGATTATTTCTCTAAACTAACGGAGATTGTCAATCAAATGAAATCATATGGTGAAAGAGTTGAACAAAAGAGAATTGTTGAGAAAATTTGGGTTAGTTTACCAGAAAAATATAACACAATGGTGGGAATAATTGAAGAAACAAAGGATATCTCTGAAATAAGTGTCTAAGAATTGATGCGTTCTTTGAAAGCTCATGAACAAAGGTTGTTAAAACAATCAGAGAAGCCTCTAGAGAGTGCATTCCAATCAAAAGTTAATTTGAATTCTAAAAGTCATAGAGAATCATCAAGTAATGAATAAATAGGAGGGGAATCATGAAGAGGTGGTAGACAACGAAAAGGGAAAGGAAAAAATTCATCAAGGGGAAGATATAGAAGCAACATCGATAGAAGTTCAAGTGTGGAAGAAAATACAAGAAAGTACATAATTTCTGAAAGGCGAAATCATCTAGAGAAGGATTGTTGGTGCCAAGGGAAACCACAATGTTATAAATGCAAAAATTTTGGCCACCTCCAAAAGGATTGCAAAGTCAAGAGCAATCAATAAGCTAATTTTTCAGAGGAGAAAGATAGAGAAGGAAACTTATTTTATGCTTGTCAAGCAACCTCAGTACACAAAAATGATGTTTGGTACCTTGATAGTGGGTGTAACAATCATATGACAGGTGATAAGTCTATTTTCTTGGACATGGACACTTTAATTTGCTCTCAAGTTAAAATGGGAAATGGAGTGTTAGTAAATACAAAGGGGAAATGAACCATAAGAGTTGAAACAAAAAAGGGGACTAACTTTATTTATGATGTGTTGCTCGTTCCAGACTTGGAGAAAAATTTGCTAAGTGTTGGGCAACTTGTAGAAAATGGATATGCAGTCCATTTTAAAGCTAACAGTTGCACCGTTCATGATAGAAATGCAAAGCAAGTGGTGGAAAAAATTCAAATGGAGAAGAATCGAAGCTTTCCACTAACATTCAACTATGCGAGAAATGTTGCTTTGAAAGCTCATACGAATGATGAGTCATGGTTGTGGCATAGAAGACTTGGGCATTTGAATTTTCATAGTCTCAAAGTGCTTCACCAAAAGAATATGGTCCAAGGACTTCCAAGTATTGAGGAAATACATGATGTTTTGTGAGGGATATGCACTTGGGAAGCATCATCGATAACTTTTTCCTAAAAGAGTTGCTTGGAGAGCCAAAGAAATGTTAGAGTTAGTTCATATGAATGTTTGTGGGCCTATGAGAACTCTCTCCCATGCCCAAAACAAGTACTTTATTCTTTTTATTGATGACTATACAAGGATGATATGGGTGTATTTCATGAGGGAAAGATCCGAAGTATTCACTATTTTCAAGAGATTCAAGAGCATGGTGGAAAAGCAAAGTGGGCACCACATAAAGTCTTTGAGAAATGATAATGGCAAAGAATATAGCTCTAAGGAGTTTGACAATTTTTGTGAAGAAGAAGGTGTAGAAAGGCAACTTACAGTGGGTTATACTTCACAACAAAATGGAGTATCCGAAAGAAAGAATCAAACAGTGATGGAAATGGCCAAATCTATGATGCATGAAAAAGGGTTATCAAAGAATTTTTCAGCTGAAGCTGTTTACATAGCAGTGTACTTGATAAATATGGGTGTCCTATCAATGTTGTTTGGAATAAAACTCCTATAGAAGCTTGGAGTGGGAGAAAGCCATCAATAAAACATCTCAAAGTATTTAGATGTGTTTGCTATGCTCAAATTCCAAAGGAAAGAATAAGCAAATTAGATAAAACAAATGAGAAATGTATCTTTGTGGGATATAGCAACAAATCCAAGGGTTATCGATTGTATAGCTTGAATAAAAATTAGATTATAATCTACCGGGATGTGTTATTTGATGAGAATGCTTCATGGAATTGGGAAAAAAGTAAAATTGAGAAGCGATCTGTCCTAGTTGATGAGAAGCAAGAAAATTCAACACATGAAGATAAAGATAATGAAGATTCAAATCATTCCTCACCAAGGGCAGGTTCATCATCATCTTCTAGCTCTTCTCCAAGTTCAAGTTCAAATTCTAATTCATTCTCACCTAGTTCAACTCAAAAAAAAAAAAAAAAATGAGAAGTTGGAGTAATGTGTATGCTAGATGCAATTTTTGTGTAGTGGAACCTGGAAGTTTTGAAGAAAGCAATGGAAAAAGAAATTGAAGTCATTAAGAAGAATAACACACGGGAATTGGTTGAAAGACCATAAGATAAGGAAATCATTGGGGTGAAGTAGATTTATAAAGTAAAGTTGAATTCGGATGGTTCATTCCAAATAAACAAGGCAAGGCTAGTCGCAAAAGGGTACACACAATAGCCTGGAACCGATTTTCAAGAAACATTTGCACTAGTTGCACAACTTGACACCAATCGAGCTCTCATTGCTTTAGCAGCCCAAAAAGGTTGGTCATTGTATCAACTTGATGTTAAATCTGCGTTTTTAAATGGAGAATTGAAAGAAGAAGTGTATGTTGAACAACTACAAGGTTTTTTAATAAAAGGAGATGAAGACAAGGTGTATAAATTAAAGAAAGCATTGTATGGGATGAATAAAGCTCCAAGAGCATGAAATAACCAAATTGATTTCTATTTAATCGACAAGGGTTTCAAGAAGAGCAAGAGTGAGTCAACCTTATATGTGAAAAATCAAGGTATGTCAATTTTTATTGTTGCCTTGTATGTTGATGATTTGTTATTTTCCAGTAATTATGAGATAATGATTGAAGAATTTCGAAATGACATGATGGAAAGATATGAAATGAGTGACATGGGTTTGTTGAATCACTTTCTTGGAATTGAATTCTATCAAGTTGAAGATGGAGTATTTATTTCTCAAAAGAAATATACTGAAAATATTTTAATGAAATTTGGCATGAGTGGTTGTAAGCCCATGGCCACACCACTAGTTGTAAATGAAAACTTACAAAGGAAGATGGAGAGAAAAGAAGTTGATGGTTCGTTGTATAGAAGCTTGGTTGGAAATTTGTTGTATCTTATAGCTACAAGGCTGAATATAATGTATGCTGCAAGTCTACTTTCTAGCTTTATGAATAATCCCAGCCAAAATCATCTTGGTGCTGCAAAACGAGTTTTGAGATATATTCAAGGCATAACCAGCTATGGTATCAAGTATTGCAAATATTCAACTGTGAAATTGTTTGGTTTTTGTGATAGTGATTGGGGTGGCTACACTGATGATATGAAAAGCACCTCTGGGTATGCACTTTCCTTGGGTTTTGGAGTATTTTCTTGGTCATCAAAAAAGTAACAAAGTGTGGCACAATCATCTGCAGAAGCTGAATATGTTTCAGCGGGTTTGGCAACTTCCCAAGCAACTTGTTTGAGGAGAATACTTGAAGATATTTGCGAAAAGTAAGAAGATGGTACATAAATTTTTTGTGACAACAAATCAGCCATTGCCATGGCTAAGAATCCTGTTTTTCACAGCCGCACTCGTCATATTGCAATTAAACATCATTTTATTCGGGAAGCAATTGAAGAAGTTGAAGTGCAACTCAAATTCTGCAGGTTAGATGAACAAATTGCAAATATATTCACTAAGGCTCTTCCCAAAGAAAAGTTCTAGCATTTCAGAGAGTTACTTAGAGTTATGGAGCAGTACATTAGGGGGGAGCAGTGTTGATGTAATGTGCGTGTTTGACTTTGTATCTAAGCAATCACTTATGCTTAGTTAATTCTAATTATGTTTTGAGTTGGGTTTTGTTAATTAGAGTTAATGTATGGAGTTGGGGGATACTGTTGGTCCTTAAGGGCAGCAGGAACTGCTGTGCCATCAAACGATACAGTTTTGGCATGTATTTTTTTTTTTTTCACTTAGTCGTACAACCAAGGCCTATTTTGCACACAACTTTTTGGATTTTGTGCATTACGTGTAGAGAATTTAAAAAAAAAAATATATGTATATATGTATATTTATATAATTCTCACTACAAAAAGTATTTCACAATTTACCCACTTAATGTATTAATATTATTTAATTACTTGATTTCAAATTTTCTATATTTATTTTTAAAATTAGCCTATAAAATATTTAAAATTTTATGACTGATGTTGCAAAAGTTTATAACTTAGTTATGATATTTTTTTATTATATCAATTTATAATGAAATTATATATTTTGTGGTTGATATTATAAATTTTTGTCATAAAATTATATATTTGGTGATAGGATGCATATGGTTTGCACCCTTACCATTCATTCTTAATTCATTATAAAAATAATTATAAATAAAATTATTGTAAAAGAATAGTAATTCAACTTCATTCTATTTTACCCTAGTAAACTACATTAGAGTATAAATCAATCCAATAACACTATAAAGTCTTATTTGATTAAAATAATTAATAGTGAAATGATTAATAATTTTATAAATTAGTGTAGGATTAGTTGTCCAATTAAATTAGTGAGATAACTATTTATTATGTATTCATTTTTTAAAAAGAAAATTTCATACTTAAAATTATGATCCTTAATCCCTATCAATATTAAAAATTCATCAATTTCGTCAGATTGAATATTTACCATACATATAAAACGGTTAATAAAATTTGCAATTAAACATAGAATTGTGAGCTCATGAACTAACAATCTCAATCCTATACTATAATCTTTATAATCAAACATACTCTAAATATTCAGAATTCTATATATTGTGCATGTGTGAAATTATAATATAGTGCATTTACTTGTAACAATATTTTATAAATTATTATGATATTAAATTATCTTATTGGCCAAAAATGATGAATTATGAGTATAATAGTATTCATTTTATAAAGTTACGCCTCCTTACTAAGGCCCGTTTGGAGACTTACTTTTTTAGTCAATTAGCCAAAAAATTACTAAATTAGCCAAAAAGCCAACAACTCATACCAAAAAGTCAAAAGATTCTCTTTTCTCTCTACTTTTTGCACATCTTTTCGTAACTAGCCAAAAAGTCATCCCAAACATACAAGTTTTTTTTACCTACCTTTTTAACCAAATAGTCAAAAAGTTACTAAATTAACCTGTTCCCAAACGAGGCTAACTTATTCACAAAGGACAACTTTATTTTCTCAAACGTCATAACTAAGTCGTAAATTTTTTGTCTATTTGTCAAGTTTTCTGACTTAGGCATCGGAGAGGTTTCCGGCACACACCCGCCGGCTAGCTCACGTTTGTGTTTTCAGGTGACAAAGCGACGTCGTACGGAGGAGCGTGGACTTGGTCAACAGGATTATACGAGGAGAATTATTTCCTCCCCGTACAATTATGATATTGAAGTATCTTATTGGCTAAAAATGATGAATTATGAGTATAATAGTATTCCTTTCATAAAATTATGCCTCCTTACTAACTTATTCACAAATGACAACTTTATTTTCTCAAACGTCATAACTAAGTCACAAATTTTTACAATATCAATCATAAAATTTTAAATATTTTATAATGTAAATTTAAAAAATAAATTTAGAAAATTTGAAATTAAGTAATTAAATAATATTAATATCTTAGAAAGTGGGTAAATTGTGAAACACTTTTTGGTATTAAGAATTATAAGTAAATATATATTTTTATTTATATTTGTGTGTAATTAACAAAGTGATGCCTTACTGAGATTTGTCGGTGTACAAGCCTAAGTAAAGAAAAAATAACTAAAAAATTATCAAAACTGTGCCGTTTGATGGCACAGCCGTTCCTGCTGCCTTCAGTGGCAGAAGTATCGCCTCATCCTACTTTACGTGGTGGAAATTTGACCAGATATTTTATTTGGTAGTTGCGTTGATATAATTACGTGCGTGTTTGGGAAGTAAATTTTTATGTAAGTTTTTTTAGTTATAGGGTATTATTGGATAAATTTTTTTTAATGTTTGGAAAAATAGTTGAGTTTTTTTTTTTGTGGTTGGATGTGATGTTTGTGAGAGAAGAAGTGAAATGATTATGGGATTGGATGTGATATTTTGTTTGGATTTATTTTTTTTTAATTTTGCAAAATCTTTGTCTTTTATGCTGTGTTTGGTTGGAGGATTTGGGAAGGGATTTGGAAATGGAAAGGGAAAATGTGTGTGAAACTATGTGAAATATAGGCATGATTTATTCACATTTCACCTACTTTTTCTATTTTCCTTTCCAAATCCCTCCCCAAATCCCCTAACCAAACACAACATTAGTGAAAAAAATGAGAAAAAAATTTGGGAACCAAGTTCCCAAACACCACCAAGTCATAACAATTAGTGAGGTTTGGTTTGACATAAAAAGCCTGAATTAAAATAGTTATAAAAAGATAAGTTAAAAAATTAATGAGACAAAATATTATATTTAAATTATAATAATTTTATTTCTTCTCATAAAAATTAAAAAAATTTATCTTAAATGAAACTTTTTAATCTCAAATTAAAATAATCAAAAAAAAAAAAAAAGTCAAAAAAATAAACCCACATCCCCGACAAAGCTAAGAGAAGCTGGAAAGGCAATAGAAAAGTCTGGCTCTAGGACGGTTCAATTGTGACCCTCTTCTCCACTGTTTTGCTCCTCTTCTTCTTTATTTTCTGCAGAAAAAAGTCATCTCTGATTTTGTGTGTTTTTAGATTGATTTCTTTGTAGTTTAAACACACACTTGCTTCCAAAACACCTAACATTTGTCTCTCCACTCCACAGATCCCTCCAAAGCCCATCAGATGGAGGAGCTTGCAATTTGCAAATAGCTCTTTCTTCCCTTTGGCCGAATCACTATATATATATTTTTTTGACCAGATGGCCGAATCACTATTCACTTACATTGTATTGCAGCCTACAATTGATTTTGATCTGTAATCTTGGTTTTATTATCCATGGCTTCTAAAAGAACCTTAGATCATTCTCCTTGTTTTCCAGCCCCCCAAAGGAGAAAAGTCTCTTCTTGTTTTGCTTCTTCCTCATCTTTGACACAACCTCGCTGGAGCTATGACGTGTTCTTGAGTTTCAGAGGTGAAGATACCCGCAAAAACTTTACTGATCATCTCTACGAGGCCTTGGTTCAAGCTGGAATTCGCACCTTCAGGGATGATGACGAACTTCCAAGAGGACGTGAAATTTCTTCGGAGCTGCTAAAATCAATCGAAGAATCAAGGATCTCCATCGTTGTTTTCTCAAGAAACTATGCTTCTTCGAGATGGTGCCTTGATGAGCTCGTGAAGATCATTGAATGCAAGAAAACACTTGGACAATTAGTTCTCCCAATATTCTACGATGTCTGTCCATCTGATGTACGGAAACAAACAGGGTATTTTGGAGAAGCATTTGGAAGACATGAAAAGCGCTTTGTGGATGAGATGGAGAAGGTAGAGGTGAGGAGAGCTGCCCTCAATGAAGCTGCTAATTTATCAGGCTGGGATTTGCAAAATGTTGCTAATGGGTAATTTTTAACATCCTTTTAATTTTGCTGCTACTGCTGCCATCAAATTTTATCTTTAACTAGAAAATCCTGCTATGTTGATCCTCCTTGTTTTTACAATTGTCTATTTTAATATTGATTGAGAATTTTATTTATGGATTTGATTAAAAAAATCAAATTTTTATGCGTATACATGTATATCATTTATTAAAATTTAAAACAGACTTACAATTCTTTCGTCAATAATTTTATTTAGGTCTGTCTTGGTTATAAAAACGAAATGAGTGCTGTGCTCTGATTCATTCTTGTATAGAACACTTACTCCCTGAAATATAATGCATGCATACCAAAGTGCATACTACACACTGAGGGCCTGTTTGATTCGCTGGATGGGGGAACCATCCACTATTTGGATTGTAATCCATTTAAAGCTCCTTATCCGCCGTTGGTTTTTTTTTTTAGTCTGTCGAACATGGAGTCCGGCTGAACTCCTTATCCCCCATATGGGGGACTATTATATCCTAGGGGGTATAGGACAATTTTGGAGGGACTATTTACTGTTGAGATTAAGGCCAAGTTTGGGAAGACTAAATAAGTGCACTTTTTGTCTTTTTAGACTAAAAAGTTGAGGTTGAAAATATGAATGTTTGGGTTAACTTTTTGACTTTTTATGAAAAAGGCGCACAAGAGGTCACCATGTTCTTGATACTTTGTTTGTAGAGGCTTGGAAGTGTGTCAAGTTTGAGGAGTTATTTAATTTAGAAAATTCTGAGCTCTATGATTTTGTTCATTCTTTCAAGGGTGGGCTATTCTCTTTGGCCAATCTCAAAATATCCGCGGTGCACCCTTCTATTTTTTTTTTATTTGTGTCGTATGTCTATTTTTTTTATTTGACTTTTATCCTCCAGATCAGATGATGTTCGCATGATTGGGATATACGGCTTGGGTGGAATAGGCAAAACGACCATTGCAAAAGCTGTGTACAACCATATTTGCCCCAATTTGAAGGGAGTTATTTTCTTGCAAATGTTAGAGAATGTGCACGACAATTCAATGGTCTATGTCAATTGCAAGAACAACTTCTCTTTGAATTATTAGGGATAAAGAATCTAAAGATTGGCAGTGCTGATAGAGGAATGAATTTGATAAAAGAAAGGCTCCACTCTAAAAGGGTACTCATTGTTCTTGATGATGTGGATCAATTAAGTCAATTAAATACCTTGGCAGGAAATCGTGATTGGTTTGGTCCAGGAAGTAGAATCATTATAACAACTAGAGATGAGCACTTGTTGAAGGGACTGAAAGTTGATGAAAGATACATGGCTGAGGAATTGGATCACGAAGAGTCTTTGCAGCTTTTCAGTTGGCATGCCTTTGGCAAAACCAATCCATTAGAAAATTATGCAGATCTTGCAAATGGTATAGTAAGTTATGCTAGTGGGCTGCCACTAGCTCTTGAAGTTTTGGGTTCTTATTTGTCTGCAAGAAACATAGTAGAATGGAAAAGTGCATTTGATAAGTTACAACAAATTCCTCATGAGAAAATTCAGGAAAAACTTAGGATAAGTTTTGATGCACTAGATGATAACATAAAAGATATCTTCCTTGATATTGCATTCTTTTTCTTTGGAATGGACAGAGGCTATGTCATTACTATATTGAATGGTTGTGGTTTCTTTGCAGAAATTGGAATTAGTGTTCTGATGAGTAGATGTTTACTGAGAATTAGTAAAAACAATAAGTTGATGATGCATGATCTACTTAGGGATATGGGGAGGGAGATTATTCGTGAAAAATATCCGAATGAGCCTGAAAAGCGCAATAGATTGTGGTTTCATGAAGATGTATGCTGTGTACTTGAAAAAAACAAGGTAAGAGTCGAATCTTAATTCATTCTAGTGAGTTAGGAAGTTTTCGGTATGGAATGCTAATTTCAGTTATTTTATTGTCTTTCTTCCTTTTAATTTTCCATTTTGTTTTTAAATATTACTATATTAGGGAACAGAAGCAGTTGAAGGTGTGATCATGACCCTACCCATGTTAAAGAAGATACAATGGAGTACTAAAGCCTTTGCTGGGATGCCTAAGTTAAGATTGCTTCGAATAGATCATGTGCACCTTTGTGGAAATTTTAAACATCTATTTGAAGAGTTAAGATGGCTCTGTTGGCAGTACTGCCCATTGGAGTCTTTACCATCCAATTTTCGTCCAGAGAAACTTCTTGTTTTAGACATGCAATTCAGTAGATTTAAAACACTCTGGATGGATGGCAAGGTATGACATTCTTAGCAAATTCATTGTTGTTTGGGATTTGGATAAATTATATAGTGGATCATGATGAAAAAAAATTATATAATTTTGTATATTTTTCTTTGTTTTTGCAGCAATTCAAGAGCTTGAAAATTTTAAATCTCAGTAATTCCAAATGCCTAGCAACAAGCCCCATCTTTTGTGCACTACCGATGCTTGATGAATTACTGCTTGAAAGTTGTACAGGTTTAATGGAGCTCCATGAATCAATTGGGCTTCTAGATAAACTTGTTCACTTGAATTTGAAAGATTGCATGAACCTCAGGTATCTTCCAGGCAGTATCTGCAAGTTGAAGTCTGTTAAACATATAAATCTCACTGGTTGTGCGAAACTAGAGGAGTTTCCAAAGCACTTGGGACATATGGAAAGCTTAACAGAGCTTCTTGCGGATGGAACAGCCATTAAACAACTACCTTTCTCTATTGGACTACTGAAGAATCTTAGGACGTTATTGTTGAAGGGATGTAATATGCAATTGACAACTAAATCCTGGTTTTCTCTCATTTCATCTTGGGTTTTACAGAGAAAAAATGCTGACTCCATAAGATTTTTACCATCCACTGTTTCAGGTTTGTGTTCCTTAACAAAGCTAGATCTCAGTAATCGCAATCTGTCTGAAGGAGATTTTCCAGTTGATTTTGGGAGTTTATCCTTATTGCGAGTGTTGAAGTTAGACGGAAACAATTTTCGTAGCCTACCATATGGCTTCAGTCATCTATCCAAGCTAGAAGACCTTGGGTTGGATAACTGCACAAGTCTTCAAGCTATCTCAGATCTTCCTCCTAATTTATTGGACTTATATGCTTATAATTGTGCATCACTTCAAAAAATATCCGATCTATCAAAATTGAAGAATCTAGTAGTGTGGTTGAGTAACCCCCAATTTGAGCAGATTCTCTCAAATCGTTATAATGATGGAATGGAAGATCCTCACCGTTTTCAAGGTGTACAAATCATTCCTCTGGACAGGCTCAACAAGCTCAGCAATTTGCAAAATCCCCTTCAGGTCTCTCTCTCTCTCTCTCTCTCAGGTGCAACAATTTAGCAAAAAAATCTTTGAAAATTTAGTGATATGTGTGATACCAAAATTGTTTTAGATGTGACCTATATAATTCCAAAGGAGGGGGATTCTATCCGGTCTAGATTACATGGACTGGAGGACGCTATTTAGGTTGCGGAATCAACCATGCGATTCACCACATGTTTTATTTTGATAATTCAAATCTTTTATTTTATTGGGCACTTCATGTATATCATTCACAAAAAAAAATTAGATCGATTCGGTAATCATAATATATTCAATTTATCAAATTTGTCACAAAAAATAAAATAAAAATGACAATTGTGTTTTTAAGAATAAACAATATATTTTTTTTGGTGACAAAAGCAATAAATTAAATAAGTTACGATTATCAAATCGACTTAATTTTTGTGTGAAAGAAATAGATAAAGTGTTCAATAAAATGAGTAGTTTAGATTATAAAAACGGAACCTGTGTTGGATCCCATGGACATAAACAACACCAGTGGACTAGAGAGGAGTTGCCTATTAGAGATGGAAAATAATATCTTACTCTTACTGAATTTTTTATTCAAAATTTTTTACTTGAAAAATGTGGCAGTAACAATTTTGAAAGTAGGATTCACTAGTTTTTTCACTATTTTTATTACTAGCTACATAGATGATTATATATCATATGTTTATATCATCTTTTTATGTCACCAACCTACTTGGAAAGATGTGATTTGTTTGCATTTAATTTGTTAATAATTATCTTTAAATAAGAGAATTAATCATAAGTATTTATATAGACAGTGATACAAAATAATGACAAATAATCGGTCATATATAGCATTTCTAATATGTTATTTGTTTTCGTCTAGCACTCTACTAATTAGAAATTCATATGATAGCATCTTGTTGACAACTCCTTCCTCGTGAGCGACTCTTTCTATGCCGGTGGTGACTTGAGCCATCGTTTCCTCCATCAAATAATAGGGTCTTCTTCGATATCCTTAGAAGTGCCAGTAGTGCAAGGGGAAGACGACTTCGTTGCAGGGTTCACTTGGGAAGTTGTTTATTATAGATCTGGGGATAAAGAAAGTTGCTCCATGGAATCAGATAATTTTCCACACGTCATTATTACTGATAAAATTAATGGCATCGATTTTACTTATACTCCAACCTTCTTCGGCATCCCTGAGAGTTGTGCAAATTATCGTTGGGAATGCCATATGTTTGTTGAAGATTATTTTGGGTATAGAATTAAAGGTGGTGAGCAATTCGAGATTTCTTTCATTATGCCGTCACCTATTAAAGTTAAGCAATGTGCGGTGGATCTGATTGTCTATTACCAGAGCCACATCACCTACCATGGATTGAGTAAGTACTGGAGGCCTCGTTCTACCGATGACGAAGTATGATCATGAAAATTGTCACCAAAACATCAATTGTAATGGGCCATCTCACATTTTCCTTTGAATAAATATGAATAAATTACAAATACATTTGCTTAAATCTCTTGTACTTTTAAAATTACAAATATTCTATGGTCAAAATTTTTTATTTGAGTAATTAACAGAAAAAATAAAATTTATAAGGCAAAGTACCAATAAATTTCAAATAGTGATCTTATAAATTATTTGACTCTCCTTTTTTTTTTTTACCTTATGGACTCAAAGGTCTCATCCCTCGCGTGAGTTATATAAAAGTTTAAGTAAAAATACGCGTGTTATGTATTTGAGAGATAAATGTGGGTTTTATCATAATGTTGAAATCACTAAACGTAACATTTAAAAAAACAAACTCTTTAATGTATTTTTTTCAAACGTAATATTTTAATGTAACTCACTAAAAAAAATTTTAGTATACTTTTCTCAAACGTAACAACGTAATATTCTAAAAAAATTTCTTAGTGTACTTTTTTCAATTGTAACACTCCAATCTATGTAACACACAAAAACTTTGTAGTATATTTTTTTCATTAGTATACTTTTGTCAAACGTTAGATTCTAATCTATGTAACACACAAAAACTCTTTAATATATTTTTCTCAAATATAACACTTCAATGTGACATACTAAAAACTCCTTATTATACTATTATCAAATATAACAACATAACATTTGAAAAAAACTCCTTAGTTTACTTTTGCCAAACGTAATATTCTAATGTAATACACTAAAAAACTCCTTAGTGAATTTTTTTCAAATGTAACAATGTAACATTCCAAAAAAACTCCTTAGTATATTTTTTCCAAACATAACACTTCAATCAATGCAATACATAAAAGCTCCTTAGTTTATTTTTTTCAAACATAGTACTCTAATGTAACATTCCAATGTAACACCAGAAAATCATTCTAACAAAAATATATGTTTCTACGCTTGACAACCAACACTTCAATCATCAATCTCCTCAAAAATAATATTCCACATCTCACCTTTCTATTCTCATCCTAAAAACGAATCATAAAATTAGAAAAATGAATCACAAAATGATATTCACTTAAATTCAAATGGTACCAAATGAAATAACTATAACTTTTCAAAACAAAAAGGACTGATTGGTTCATAAGAAAACTTTTAGAACTAAATGGATTACTATTCCCCATATGAGATATATGGGTAAATTTTTCAAATTTATAACTACTCTTATATATAATAATAAAATTGTTAGAAATTTTAAATAAACTATATTTATTGTTAAAAACTATTAATTGATTTAATAATTCATTAATAAAATAGATAATTTGTTATGCGATTAAAAATTTAAAAGGACTGGATGTAATATTCAAAATCACAAAAAAATAATTTATATTTTAAGCAAATTTCAAAATGTGTATTTATAATTTATCCAAGAAATAAACAACAATCAAAAGCTTGCTTAAGCTTTTTGAGGTTGACTTTTTTTGTTTTTCGTCTTTAGTTTTTCTCGAGTTTGAGGGAAACATGTTTGGACGATTAATAAATGACAAGATTATGTGTGATTTCTCATATAGTTTAGAAAAAAATATAAATAATTGTTGTTTTTAACCATTTTGTTTGAACAGACAATAAATAAGATATTGTTGGAAAAAATGGTTTTTTGGTGACTTTAATTAAATATTAAAGTGGGTCCCAACCATCTATTGTGTTGGGTCCAAGTGGATCTATATACTTTGTATTGAGATCTTTACACTACAGATAGAATGGCCAAAAACCATTGAGATTTGAATGAAAAATTACATCATGAAGTTAGCTTCATGGAAAAAAGGTAATGAAGTTTGTAACTCCTGCATTAATGGGGTTTGTAACTCCTGCCTTTATTGCAGAGGTTAATGGTGCATTATGAACAGCCATAAAGGCTGGAGGCTCTTTCTCTCTCCCCTATACATGTATAAATTGAGACCCTCCTATCAAGTCTCAAAACACAGAAATTGTTTCTTCCATTCTTTAGTCAGTTTGCCAAAAAGTTCATACTATGAGAGAGTGCTGCCACTGTTTTGTTCGCTAAGCTAGACAGATAGTGCTTCTGCCGTAGCTGGTTTTGACCGTCGTATCTTGGGAGACAGACGCCGGGATTCCTCAAGCACTCGACCAGTGAGGCGGCGAAATCTGTTTTAAGGAAACTGCTTCCGTGCAGGCTTCGGTTTCGTTTCTTTACCCTTTTATTATTTTGTGTATTTATGTTGAAATTTAGTTGTAATTATCTGCATGTGTTCTTGGTATATAATTTGAGTTTTTCATAAATCTATTTATTTAATTTCACAAGATGAACAACAAGCTTAAAACAGATTTCGTATATCTTTTCTATGAAATTGATCGAATAGATTTATATAGACTATTAGGTTAGCTTTGTATAAAGTTACTAGGAACTATTGCGGAGTTGCTCACTGTTTCAATGATACAAAATATAAATTTGCATGTTTAAAGATTCAAGTAATTTACATGAATAGGCCATTGTTTCTTTTTCTGTCAGTTAATTGCCAGTTCATGATTTTGCTTCTATGGATGCACACAAAACTATTTTCATGCCTTCTTGCACTGATTCATCATTCTAAGTAAATTAATATATTTGTGTTTGCTAGTGAATAGATCCATGTGTGTTTTAACCGTATTACATGCTAAGTCTATTCTAGTTTTAATTTGTTACATGCTTATTATTTTCTAGACTAGATTACATAATTTAAATTTTTTGAATTATTTGCATATGTTAATTGCTAAATGGTTATTGGATTGTAACTCTTGCCTATTAATTTTAGTTTAATGTATTTGGAGTTATAGAGTTTTATGAATTGTGTACATGATTAATTTGAATTAATTGGGTGCATTAATCTAAATTATTTAATTGGGTGCATTAACTTTGAATTTAATTTATTTATTTGGAGTTATTAGTTTAAAATGGTTTTAATTATTTATTATATTTATTTTTTGCTTAGATTATTTGTTTGTATTTTGTTGTGGTTTGCTACTAACTTTCTTTGTAGGAATATCTAAGCGTAGAAAGGAATTGTTTGGACTACTTATAATCCTCAATTGGATTGGTTATTTTTCTTTATATTTGAAGAAATTTTTTGCCAGAGGGCATGAGTTGAGCAAAGCCAGTAGGCTTCATTTTAGCAAGAGGGCTTCATTTTCTACTAGAGAGCATGAGAACATTTGATGCTTGCAAAGAATGCATTAGACGGAGGGGCTACAGTTTGCCAGAGGGCTTCAGCTAAAGTGTCTTAAGGTTTGAGTTTGCTAGAGAGCAACAGCCAAGAGGGCTTCAGAGATTTAGTTGGTTTGTTTACCAATTTGAAGCATCAAGTTTTATTTGCTTATATTATTAGAAGCATTTTATATGCATGTATTTGATTATAGCAATTTTTAAATTGCTTGTAAATTTGGAATTTGGTTTGGTTTTCTGTAATAGAAACCAAAGTGTTTAGCCTTGGCTAAAGAGTAGTTCTTATTTGTTCAGAAATGACAACTAAGACGGATTTGGTTTCAAACCTTTGGAGTTTGAGGAAGTTTTTGGGTTTAATCATTTTATTCCCAAAGTGTTGGAAAACTAAGTTTGAAAAAAGTCTTTGGTTATAATCTGATTATGTCCAAAGTGTTTTGGTTTTGAGAAAGGAAACCAAATTTTAGCATTAGCTAAAATATCTCTGATTTTTATTCAGAAATCATGGGCTCAGTTCCGGGAGTACCGGTTAACTATCAGGGGCTCAGTTCCGGGAGTACCGGTTAACTTTTATGAGTGGTATAATTCTGGTAGCAAATTTTATTTGCTTGGAAATTGATTTGTTATAACCTGGTTTATCCCTTGGAAATCTTAATTTTAAAATTGTTTCCCATGAACTAGGAGTCAACATGCTCTTGGATGTTTTGTTAAAAGGTTAACTGGGTTTTAAGTGGGACCGATGTGACCCTCCAGTCTTCCTGGGAACATTCCTGACCATGTTCGATTCTAGGTTAAATGGTGAGACTAGTTTTGAATTAAATTTCCATCTGAGGGATTTTCTAAGAGTTAAGTTTAATTTCTAGAAACACAAAAACTGATATTCTGTTGTATTTTTCAAAAATGGCAACTGTCACCAATGATGTTGCTACTACTAATGTTGGTGGAGATCTGAACCCCGGGGTAACTAATTTGCCAACCCCAACTGTGACCTCTGTGGTCAACCCTGGTGTTACTCCGACTGTTCCGGGAGGATCACTCAGTCACCATGAGCGCCCAGAGAAATTTGCTGGGGTGAACTTCAAAAGATGGCAGCAAAAGATGTTGTTCTATTTGACCACGCTGAACCTTACAAAGGTTTTGAGTAAGGATCCTCCAGCCATAGCAGAGAATGAACCAAACAAGCAGAAAGTCATGACACTTGACACATGGAAGCAGACAGACTATCTTTGCCAGAATTATGTGTTCAACAGTTTGGCAGACTCACTCTACAGTGTGTTTTGTGCCAAGAGCTCAACAAAAGAGTTATGGGAATCTCTGGACAAGAAATACAAGGCTAAGGACGTCGGAGCAAAGAAATTTGTTGTTGGCCGGTTCTTGGACTTTAAAATGGTAGATTCAAAAACTGTGATAAGCCAAGTCCAGGAGTTCCAAGTGATCTTGCATGAAATTCACGTTAAGGAGATGCCTTTGAACAAGTGATTCCAAGTTGCGGTGATCATTGAGAAATTTCCCAATGGTTGGAAGGACTTCAAGAACTACCTGAAGCACAAGCGCAAGGAAATGTCAGTTGAAAACCTGATTGTCCGACTCCGAATTGAGGAGGATAATAGAAAGAAAAGAGGAAGTACCTCCTCTATGAAGGCTGATGTCATTAAGCATGGCAGATCTTCTGGGTGAGGAAGAAGCCTCCTGCGAACAAGAGCTCAAAGCTGGGGCCAAGAGGTGGTGTTGCCAAGAAGCTGACATACAAGCCTCATGAATCTGGTTATTGGTTCTTAGAGAAGTGCTACAACTGTAGTAGCGAGGGGCATCAGGCTAGTGACTACCGTAAGCAGAAGAAGGCATACAAGACCAAACCTCGTGCTTCCATG